GAATAAAGCGCAGGGAAATTTTGCCAGAACAGGACCTCATAACCCAGAATTACCTTGCCAAGTGCAAGGTATACGTTATACAAAAGGGAAGGATGCCTTTGTTCCATATAAAGACTTTTCAGTAGAAATATGAAGTCTTACTATAATGAGATCACTGGTCCTCAAGTTTTCTAAACTCACGATGGCATGGAGGAGAGCTTAGCATGTGGCTCTTGAGAAATTTAAGAGAACATTTTTTAAAAAAGATGAATTCTAGTATTTTCTTTTTTTTTTTACATGAATTGTAGTGTTTTAATCTGATATCAGTCTAGTACAGTGGTTCTCAATCCTCTTAATGCCGCGACCCTTTAATACAGTTCCTCATGTTGTGGTGACCCCCAACCATAAAACTATTTTCGTTGCTACTTCATAACTATAATTTTGCTACTGTTATGAAGCATAATGTAAATATCTGATATGCAGGATGTATTTTCATTGTTACAAATTGAACATAATTAAAGCATAGTGATTAATCACAAAAACAATATGTAATTATATACGTGTTTTCCAATGATCTCAGGCGACCCCTGTGAAAGGGTCGTTCGACCCCCAAAGGTCGGGATCCTCAAACTACGGCCCGCGGGCCACATGCAAATACAAATATTATATTTGTTCCCGTTTTGTTTTTTTACTTCAAAATAAGATATGTGCAGTGTGCATAGGAATTTGTTCATAGTTTTTTTTTAAACTATAGTCTGGTGCTCCAACAGTCTGAGGGACAGTGAACTGGCCCCCTATTTAAAAAGTTTGAGGACTCCTGCCCAAAGGGGTCGCGACCCACAGGTTAGCGAACCACAGGTTGAGAACTGTTAGTCTAGTATATGTTTTCCCTTCAAGAAATTGCCTCGTGCTTTCTATTACACTGAATACGAACATATAAATCTTCATTATTATGGCTTACATGTGTACTCTGATTTAAAAATGTCTTTAAGTATATCTAATATAATAATAGAGGAATATGCAAATTAGCCTGGACACTGTAAAGTCATGACCAATCTATAGGAGGGCGGGGCAGCGAGCTATGAGCGAGAGAGCTACCAGCCGCAGTGGGTGGGGTGGCCAGCTGAGGCAAGTGGCAGCGAGTTAATTTGTTTATATAGCTTTGCACAGTAGCAGTATCATAGCCAAAGAGATTTATCCGAGGTGCGATTATTGCTAATTGAAAAAATAAATTAATAAGTAAGTAAATAAATAAATATATTTGTTTATAATGATAGATACCATAGGTGGCACGTTTTCCCACTTGGGTATCACTTTTATTGAAACTTACATTAATAACTGTGTAGCTATACAGTTTCAGGGAGGTGCTGTTGTGTCTGTCCTCAGACTCTCCCTTCTCTTATCCCCGGTAGCCTGCCTAAAGTCACAGATGCTTAATGTGGCGGCCATCCCAGTTAACAAGGTTCTCATAAGGTAGTGGCATTTGGTAAAGAAGCAGTTTGGCAAATATGTAATTTGATGAAGTAAACTCTTTTTTAACTAACGTTTGTACTGAGCCAAGGCGATGAGGGGTCCGGGAGTGCACACTGGTAGACCAGAGTTGATGGGATTGGGGCTGGAAAAGCATGTAGTGGCTTCCACACAGCTGGGAGGAGACAGTAGGTGACAGAACAGAGACTGCTCAACAAGGGGCCCTTGAGGCTCTTTCCTCTTCAACTTCAGTCTCTCCCTTTTATTAACTGTGTGACCTAGAAAGCAAGGATTGTTGGAAGAATTAAAAACAGCGTTTTGCTGTCTTAAATCAAGGTTGGACAAAGCTATGTCTTGAACTCCTGTGAGTCCTTCATAATATACTGATGAGCATACAGTAAATACTGAGTTGATAGACAACTTTTAGTGTTTCCATTTAAAAGAAGCTAATTTTAGTACTTGACTGTGTAAATTGATAATATTTAGTGTGTAAGAAGAATTGGTTATCATCTGAAATTTATTCCATTAATATAGTTTCCAAATCAGATAATATAAACATCCACAAAATTTAATTTGTTTATATATGTCATCTGTTTCATCAATTTTGCATCAGAAAAAAATGCTGTTTCAAAAGTCAAAACATTGGTTGAAAATATTATCTCTGGAGGGTAGAATAATAGAGAGTTTTTACTTTCTGGATTAAACATTTCTTTTTGGTGTTTGGGTGGGTTTTTGTTAAGTGTATTACTTTATAATCAATAACAAATTTAAGTTGGTGTTAAAGGTGGATTTTACAAATGATTTTACTTGGAAGAGATTTGCTGAAGTTCCTGTGTTTGTTTACTCAGGGAAAGCATGAAAGCAGTAGCAGACACTGAAGACAGAGAAATGAGGAGAAAGAAGGACGAATATTTCACTTTCAGTCCTCTAACAGTTGTAATATTTGTGGCCATCTGCTGTGTTATGATGGTCTTACTTTATTTCTTCTACAAATGGTTGGGTAAGAAATCATGTTTTATATTTGCTATTTTCAGCAAACAATCTTTTCACTTACTTTGGCAGATTTATCTTTTCCTTCTACCCGGAAAACTTAAGTGAATAAATAAAAAGTGATATTAACTTTTAAATTGTTAGAAATGTTAGGTCTCCATTAATGTGGGGTACAAAAAATATTCAGATTAAAAATATACTGTCTTGAGATAAGAACACTTCTTCATGAATGACTTGAAAGAATTGTTATGGTCCCTATATTTCCCTCCCTGTAGGTAAAGCAGGAAATCCTAATATCTAAAGAGCAGGTTAGCACAGCCAGTGTTGCTTGTTGGTTGAGCATAGACCTATGAACTAGGAGGTCACAATTCAATCTGGTGAGGGCTTATACCTGGGTTGTGGTCTCTATCCCCAGTAGGGATGCGGGATACAGGCAGCAGGAGATCAATGATAAATATCATTGATCTTTATCTCTCCTCCCTTCCTCCCTGAAATCAATAAAAATAGTTTTTAAAAATAAAGAGTAGGCTAAGGACTTCTTGGTGGCTCTGTTTAGTTACATGAAATAGAAGCTATTCAAATTACTGATTTATTGCCTTTGCTTACTCCCAAAGTGTAGTTTATTCTTTTGTCAGTTTATAAATCAAGATGTTATAGTACTTGAATTTTGTTTTACTTGTGTAAACAGTTAGGGTCATACTACATCTAAAGACACACAGGTATTTGCCTGTGATCTAGAGAGTAAGTGATACTTATTCCTTTAAGTAGGTATCGGTAGGAACATAATGGCTTGTCCATCCCCCTGGACAATCTTCTTAATTGTCTGGTAGGATGGAAATCTGCCATTCCTGGCCAACATACAGTACAAAGAGGGGGTGGAGAGACAAGGGAAATGGGGGGTAGGGGGGCGATAGATGAGAACCTGTAAAAACCACCAAAGGCTACAGTGCTTATTTGGAGAACATTAGAATGCTTTCTGGACTAGAAAATTGAGGCCTTAAGGTTCATTTGAGCTTATTCAATTTCTCCTGCCCGGTGGCAGCAATTTTGAAAATATAATCTATTGACATATTTCCAATTAGAAAATAATCATTCTTCGAATATCACTCATATTTTGATCTGTTGTGGTCCTAGGGCAGTGATGGCAAACCTTTTGAGCTCGGCGTGTCAGCATTTTGAGAAACCCTAACTTAACTCTGGTGCCGTGTCGCATATAGAAATTTTTTGACATTTGCAACCAAGTAAAACAAAGACTTATATTTTTGATATTTATTTTATATATTTAAATGCCATTTCACAAAGAAAAATCAACCAAAAAAATGAGTTCGCGTGTCACCTCTGACCCGCGTGTCATAGGTTCGCCATCACTGTTCTAGGGTGTTGTTTGTATTATGTTGTCATTGGGTGGCTCATTTTTCTATTTTAATGGTCTTGAATTGTTTGTGTCTGACCCTCAGTCAATATATTAGTGGCCTTTGATGAAAAAAAAGATTTCTGTACCCTGTCATAAAGCATGTTATAATTTTAAGGTATTTTCTTAAACTGATTGCTATTTTAAAAGTTGACCCTGCCCTGATGGTGTTGCTCAGTTGGTTGGGTGTTGTCCTGTGAACCAAAAGGCTGACAATTCAATTCTGGCTGGGGCACATGCTCAGGTTGTGGCCTCAATCTCAGTAGGAGATATGCAGGAGGCAACTGATCAATCGATCGATGTTTCACCCTCATATCGATGTTCTCGCTCTCCCTCTCTCTTATTTCTAAAAATCAGTTTTAAAAATCTTTAAAATAAACACAAAAGCATACACTGAAAAAAATAGAAATAAGCCTGGCTGGTGTTGCACAGTGGTTAGGCATTGATCCATGAACCAGGTGGTCACCTGTGTGAGACCCGGTCAGGGCACATGCCCAAGTTGCAAACTAGATCCCCAGTAGGGGGTGTGGCAGGAGACAGCTGAATGATGTTTCTCTCTCTCTCTATCCTTCTTCCTTTCTCCCTAAAATAAATAAAAACATTTTTTAAAAAATAAAATAAACTATATATATAAAAGCCTAAGTGACTGGTCAACCGGTCGCTGTGACGCACACCGACTACCAGGGGGCAGATACTCAACGCAGGAGCTCCCGCTGGTGGTCAGTGCGCTCCTGCAGCCATAGATCGGGCCTGATTGCTGTCCGGGCCCAGGGATCCCACCTGTGCACGAATTCATGCACCGGGCCTCTAGTATAATATAAAATAAAATAAAAGTTGACCCTGTTTGTAAATATAATTTTTGATGTAAGAGAAAAATCATTAAACCTCAAGGTTATCCCAGAACATGGGATTTAATTATAACTCTGAGAATATCTTATGTAATTATTGTAAGATTTAATTCACCTTTAAGTGGTGAATTAAATCTTACGAATATCACATAAGGCTCAATATGCTGCCTTTTCTTAATATATTAAATAATGGGACTATACTAAATTGGTAGGGTTCCTCTTGCCATTTTATGATTGTCATGCTCAAGGAAGTAACTAAAGACAGTTATATTAACCAAATTCTTTTCCACACCCAATTATTTTCTTAAGTATAGTATGACACTGAATGAGGCACCTAAAATCTGTTAGGGCCCCAAGAGCCTCATTTCCACCAGTGTTGTAAAACTTGGGTTGGAGACCTGTGATGGATGACTTACCAAACTTAATTTGACAATCTTTGACTCTCTATCTTACTATTCATATTACCGTATATAACCAACTAGAGCAGTGATGGCGAACCTTTTGAGCTCGGTGTGTCAACATTTTGAAAAACCCTAACTTAACTCGGGTGCCATGTCACATATAGAAATATTTTGATATTTGCAACCATAGTAAAACAAAGGCTTATATTGCCACTGTTGAAGACAGTATGGAGTTTCCTCAAAAAGTTAAAAATGGAACTCCCATTTGACACAGTAATCCCACTTCTAGGAATATATCCCAAGAAATCAGAAACACCCATCAGAAAGAATATATCCACCCCTATGTTCATAGCAGCACAATTTACAAGAGCTAAGATTTGGAAACAGCCTAAGTGCCCATCAGTTGAGGGGAGTGGGGGGAGTCAATCGGGGAAAAAAGAGACATATGTAAAACTTGAGACAATAAAAAAAATTTAATTAAATTTAAAAAAGTGTTTATAATGGCTTATTCATTCTTCTATTTCTTACATTAAAATTAAATAGTCATAAATGTGTACAACTCCCTTCATAAAAATCTTTAACAAACATGTCAGTTTGAGTGATAGTAAATGGAGAGCCAGCTTCACAACCCTTTAAGCAATCATCCTTCCAATGTATAAAGGAATTGAAACAACACAAATTACTCTTAAAAACTCAAGATGTAAATATTAAAAAAAAAGATGTAAATACTTTCAGTTTAGTAACCAATTCAGATCATAATATGGCCAGTGCATTGAAAGTATCATGATCCAATGAGAAAGCTAAAGAATTGATATTGCTGTCTAAATATTTTCTTGTTACATTTTTTTCTGTTCTCATATAATTTAGTGTCTTGTTTTGTTTTCTTCTAGTTTATGTTATGATAGCAATTTTCTGCATAGCATCAGCAATGAGTCTATACAACTGTCTTGCTGCACTAATTCGTAAGATACCATATGGACAATGCACGTATGTATCTCTTATGAGGCATCCTGTAATGTTGGTTTTTGTAATGTAAAACAATACAAGAAAAAGTAGTCTTATTTTAAATCCATGCAGTTTAGTATACATGTGGCTATTTAAATTTAAATTAATTAAAATTAAGTAAAATTACAATTTAGTTCCTTAGTTTCATTAGCCACATTTCAAGTGCTAAATTGCCACATGGCCAGGCCAGTGTGGCTCAGTGGTTGAGTGTCAACCTATGAACCAAGAAGTCATGGTTTGATTCCCGCTTTGGGCACATGCCCAGGTTGTGGGCTCGATCCCCAGTGGATAGCATCCAGGAGGCAGCCAATCAATGATTCTCTCTCATTATTAATGTTTCTCTCTCCCTTCCTCTCTCTGAAATCAATAAAAAAAAATATTTTTAAAGAAATAAAATATGTTTTTAAAGAAATAGCCCTAACCGGTTTGGCTCAGTGGATAGAGCGTCGGCCTGCGGACTCAAGGGTCCCAGGTTCAGTTCCGGTCAAGGGCATGTACATTGGTTGCGGGCATATCCCCAGTAAGGGGTGTGCAGGAGGCAACTGATCGATGTTTCTCTCATCGATGTTTCTAACTCTCTATCCCTCTCCCTTCCTCTCTGTAAAAAATCAATAAAATATATTTTAAAAAAAGAAATAAAATATATTCCATATTGGAGTCCCATATGGAATATTTGTATCATCACAGAAGGTTCTATTGAACTGATAAACATTTTCTTATTTTATTACATTTTATTTAAAATCAAGACTTTTAAATTGTTACTGCAATAGTTTTCTTGTGACTGTGGTTAATATTTGTCATTTCTCACAGTAAATAAACATTTTATTTCATCTGCAAGGTAAACTAACCTATTTCCATGTGTTTCTTTTGTTGTCGTTTTAGGATTGTGTGTTCTGGCAAAAGCATTGAAGTGAGACTTATTTTTCTCTCTGGACTGTGCATAGCAATAGCTGCTGTTTGGGCCGTGTTTAGAAATGAAGATAGGTATAAGCACTTAGTTTATTTGCTTTTAGATTACAGATGGATTATTTTATGTCTTGTCCTGATAATTATTCATTATGATTATTATGGAAGTTTTTGCTTTTATCCCAGAACACCATAGTCTTGAAAAAAGTTACTTGTTAAATAAGCAGATTTCGTCGTATTAATGGATTTGAGGTCATATAGAGAAGGAAATAATGAATCATAATTTAAGCATCTAAGCTGAAATAGACTTAATTACATATATGCTTAATTATGATGTAGCCATAATTTATTATACAATGGAGTACAATACAACTATAACGAATGAAGATCTCTATGAATTGATATGCAGTCATTTCCAGAATATATTTTTAAGTGAAAAAAATGCAAGAGAATATAAGTATACTAGAGTAGGCTACCTCTTATTTAATAAAGAAGGAATATAAGAAAAATATATAGGTATTCATCCATTTACAGGAAGGATAACCAGAAAAAATATATATTTAAGTTTCTTTAGTGTTTTATTAATGAAATTAGTAAAGTCCAAAGGATTTAATACCCTAAAATTTGGGAGCAAAGTTCATACATTTTAGGCAGCTTCAGGTATGAGAAGTCATTTGGGAATTATGCATATCCATTTCTGATAGAGTATGTTGCATAGCTCTTGTTTCCTTTATGTTCTAGCTACCTATCCTTTGTTATACACCACCTTTCTAGAAGGAGACATGTATAAATTCAAAGATTAAAGATAAATATGCATTTATGTCTGATAGTATAGTAGTATTAATTATTCTATTAAGGCAGTAAATTACTAAATATGAAAAATAGAGGTTTTTCATTTTATTTTTGTAATTGCTGCTTGATTATTGAATAATCAAATCATAGCAATTGAACAATTTTACTTTAGTGATCTATTCTTTTGAAAAGTTCCACCTGAGAAATAGACTGACAGGGGAGGTGGGAGGATGGGAAAAGATTAACCAAAGACTTAATGCATATGTGCACAGCCCATGGACACAGATAATAGTGTGGTGAAGGCTTGGGGTGTGGCGGGGGCTGGGTGGAGAGGGAAGTGGTGGGAAAATACTGTCAACAACAAAAAAATAATAGAGTAACTTCTTTTGATTTTAGGTGGGCTTGGATTTTACAGGATATCTTGGGGATTGCTTTCTGCCTGAATTTAATTAAAACACTGAAGTTACCCAACTTCAAGGTAAGATATTCTACTCTGGCAGATAAAATAATTGTTTCTTTTTATGTTTTTAAAATTATTGATTTTAGAGAGAGAGAAAGAGAGAGAAAGAGATAGAGAAGCATCGATGTGACAGCAAAGCATTGATTGATTGCTTCTTGTAAGTGCCAAGACCCAGGGACGAACCACAATCTGGGTATGTACCCTGATTGGGAATCGAACCCGGGACTCTTCAGTGCACAGGACAATGCTTCAACCAACTGAGCCATACTGTGTGGCGGGGGCTGGGTGGAGAGGGAAGTGGTGGGAAAATACTGTCAACAACAAAAAATAAACTTAAAAAAGAAAAGGAAAGTTCCATCTGAAAATAACTGGATAAAATAATAGAGTAAGACATGGACAACAGGGGGATGGGAGCATGAGT